CGTGGGGAACCTCGTGGAGAGCCTTGTGGAGAGCCTCGTGGAGAGTCTCCCTGAAGTTGTTGGATTGTTTGAATTTCTGGGTTTCCTTGAGTGTTGTCATTGTTGTTTGACATGATTGATGTAATCAAGCAAATCAGGTTGAGGTATGATTGATTATCAGATCCCCGGCAACGGAACCAATTTGTTTAACCAAAAAATAGATTTTTAGTTAAAGCTAGAAATTAGAAGAATCGGATTAGTGATAATCGAAAAAGTAAATAAAGAAAGAAATTTTAGAATAGCCAAGTATGAAAGCTGGTAAATCAGAGTATATTTCAATAGTCACTTGTCCCTCTAGTGATTACATATTTCTCCTTTTATAGGTCCCTTTGGGAATCTTTGGGAATGCACGTTATGCCTAAGTCATAATGAGGCTATTATGAGTGATTAATGACATTAAATGTTACGTTACATAATCATTACATTGAATATATATATATTCCTTAACGGCTCCAGCATTTAATACCCTTTAAATGCCGTATTTGCATCTTTTTCTTTAGCCAGGTTCATTCTTCTCATTGCTCGTATGTAAATAAGCTTAAACAGGAACGGGGCGCTGAGCCTCTTGTCTCGTGCCTCTTTCTACCCGTACCTGTTTGTAACTCTTGAACCGTGGCAAATCACAACTCACTATCCATTCCACGTGTCAGGACACGTCATCATGTATATATGAATACAAATTTTCCCCAATACAATTTCATAACAGAAAGAAAGAAGCAACAACCAAAAAGTAAAGTGTGATCCTTTTTTCTCCAACTATAAATGTCAAAGAAATTACAATTAATTAGAATTCAGTATAAACAACAAGTAGAAGTTTGTTTAGTGGCTGTTACTTCATCATCCATCATGTTAATAATTTCTTTTTTTCCTTGAAGAGATTTTGGTGTAGTTGCTTCATTCATCTTAGCTTCCAAGCTTTTCTGGCTCATAATTTCATGAATTTTTTTAATCATTTGAAGAAATGCTTCTTCTACATTTAGATTGTCCTTTGCTGATGTTTCCAAAAAAGATAATCCTTCTAATTGTGCAAGGCTTTGCCCATCTTCAACATTAACTTCTCTTGCAGAATTGGCCAAATCAGATTTATTTCCAACTAGAACAATTACCATGTCAGAACTGCCATATTCCCTAAGCTCGTATAGCCATTTTCTTAAATTTTCAAATGTTGCTCTTCTTGTTATGTCGTACACAAGCAAGGCACCAAGTGCTCCACGATAATATGAACTTGTTATGGCTCTAAACCTGGAAGGAAAAACAATATTTATGTTGGATGTTAATACTCCCTCCGTTTCAAAAAGAATGACGCTATCTGCTTATTAGTTCATTCCAAAAAAATGACATCTTTCTAAATTTGAAAATAATTTAATTTGAACTTTTCATTTCGCCCTTAATTCAAGTTTCTATAGCCATACAAATATTTGACATGTTTATAAAAATCACAAGTTTCAAAAGTCTTATAACCATAAAAATGTTATAAATATTTAAGACAATAAATTTTTATAGTTTATTTTTTCCTTAAACTTCGTGCCCAGTTAAATTAGGTCATATAAATTGGAACCTAGGAATTGGCAACTTTTTTAGAGCCTTGTGTTATATTTTAATTTCCTTCTCGAAAAGAAAAACCCAATTATGGTAAATATGTTGTCCTTTCCTTCATGAGATAGGAGAACCAATTATGGTAAGAAAATAGGACAACACCTAACAATTCGCTCTAGAGCTAGAAATTAATCTCCACTAGCTCAGCCCAGTAGTTCTAAAGTAGAGGAAGTGGAGGAGGTGCAAAATATTGGTCAAAATGATAATGTTGATGCATCTGCGTAACAACAACCATATAGCATTGCAACAGGCAGAGAGAAGAAGGTGATCAACTGACCTCAAAGGTTTGCAAACGTAGTTGATGGGAATCTTCTTGGATATACGAATCCAGTGGGATTTGCTTTGGCTGTTGTAGAGACCGTTGATGCATTTGAGTGTTATAGCTACTCAGAAGCTATTCAGAGTACAGAACCAAATCGACGAATTAGTGTTATGGCTAAAGAGATTGAGTCTCTTAACAAGTTTAGGCGTTGCTTAGACTTGGTTGATGTGTGCGCCAATAGATAGAGCCCTTGCGAGGGCTGAGGGCAAGGTAGAGAGACGTTGTTCCTGTTGATGAAGAGAACTCAAGCCAAGGGGAAGATTTGTTATTTGTGACTTGAATTATTTCCTTGTATTTTAGGAAACCCATAATCCCTCTAGGTTTAGCAAAACCCATTGTCCTAATAGATTTGGGAAAGAAAAACCTATAGTCCTTCTCATATTGGGAAACCTTTCTCTTATATGTTTGGGACCTTTTAGGATCTATATATAGGGGTTGTAGTTGGAGATCCTAGAGATTGTGTTGTGCTTTTCTTCTCATTCATAGTGGAAAACTCTCTCTGCTTTTGCCCCGAGGATTAGGCTTAGCCGAACCTCATTAAATCCTTGTGTTGATTTTTCTTCTCTATTTGCTTTGTGTGTGATTGTGTGCTAGTTAACCCACAATATTCCGCAAAACTTTGATCATTTACGCACTTCCATATAGAAATTACGCTCTCTTTTTATCTATTTTGAATAAACGCAATTTATCGAGTATATTTATGGATCTAAAATGACTAAGGCCTCATTTGTTTTTTTAAGATTAAGACGTCTGAATCGAAATACACATCTGAATACCAAGATGTGTATCAAGATTAAGACATCTGAATCTGAATACATATTTGAATATATTAAGATGTGTATTAAGATCCGAATATAAATAATTAAGAGTGTTTGATTTTTAACATCTGAATGTATAAACTTTATCTTTATTTCAAAATTAATAAACATAAAATTGAAATGAAATACTAACTAATGTAATATTCTATCAATAAAATATATAGTTTTTTAAAATATGATAGTTGTTGGTGGTGATGACTAACGGGTGAATGTCGACTAGAGGCAGTGGTTGGTGGTAGTTTTGGTTGATGGTGGTGGTTCATGCTAGTAGCTAGTAGTGATTGGTAGTGGTGGCGATTATGATTGAGGATGGTGGTGGTGGATGGTTATATTTAATAATGGCGGGTGGTGGTAGTAGTTGTGACTGAGGAAGGTGGTGGGTGGGTGGTGGTAGGTTATAATGATGGGCAGTGCCAGGTGTGATTGTTGATGGTGATGGGGTGGTTAGTTGTGGTAGATTAGGTGGATGAGTGTTGAATGTGGGTGAGAATGATGATGGTCGGAGTGGTGGGATAGTAGGTGGTGATGGTCGATAATGGTGGCGGCTATGACTGAGGATGATGGTGGCGTGGTGGTGGTGGTGGTTGAGTATGGTGGTGGTGGTGGTATGGTGGTGGTGGTTGAGTATGGTGGTGGTGGTGGCATGGTGGTAGTTGATAATGGTAGGCAGTGGCGGCAGTTAATAATAAATATGTGATATCATCTTAATGAAATTAAGTCTCTGTTATAGATCTTAATCAGACAGACCTATTCAAACCCATTAAGTGGTTGTGAAATAAAAAAACAAACACAATTAATGATTAAGATTCAGACTTTAAAAACAAACACATTTAATGTCTGAGATATGAATAATTAAGATTCAGACCTCCATTAAGTGCAAGCAAATGAGGCCTAAAGGTCTCTAAAAGGAAAAGAAATTAAAATCCATCTACAACTTTTGATTCGAGTAGTATTGGATATTTTTGGGATGAAACGTTTACACCTTTAAACATTGAAACTTTGAGAATCATATTAAATATTATGTACTTCTAATACGCTAAGAGTTGTTTTAATAATTTACAATGCATTGATAACATTATCATGTGCCTTTGTTATAATTGCTCCTTGCCACTTAATAATGGAAATATATTGAAACAATTATTCAAACGCGACATTGACCTAACGGATAATGTACAGCAATATCTTTCTTTTCCATCAAAAGAAAAAAAAATCGTATGCGACTGGATTTTTATTAATTAAATTTTCAATGTATACTTTAGTCAAATTTATCGATCATGTCAACAAAGTGGTGAGCTGGTATCGATACTTATAGACTTAAGAGGCGTGAAGATAAGGTTAACACATTAATTGGGCGGTTAATTTGGACTGATGTTGAGAGAATATCCTTCATTTATCGCCGTCATCAATTAGGAAAACTCTCTTGCAATTACCAACTGTTTTCTCTGATTTTCCTTTTTGCAGGTATTTTATGGTACACTTAGAACAAGACCAAACTTTTCATCCATAAATGTTTTGGTAATACTATAAAAGGTGTTCAGATATTCTTGTAATGACCTACTTATATACGTTGAACTTGAGATTAAGCAAATTAAAGAAGCCACGTCACTAAACACTAGCCAATAGAGGTCGAGCAAGGATTTGAAGTTTATGAGTTCAGAATTGGTTACGGAACTCATAGCTCGTCTTAGTTAATGGGTTTACAATTAAATATTTATCTTTATTTAATAAATTTTCTAATACAAATACAATATTTAACCAAAAGTGATTGAGTTTGGCCGAACCCCACCTAATAGGCTAGCTCCGCCACTGGTGGCCAATAGAAACTCTCATAAAAGGGTCTAAAAATTATATTAATACTTGTGAAGATAATATTTGTAAAGAAAATGACATTGTATAACCGCTCTCAAAATAATAGCCGAAAAAGATATATATATATATATATATATATATATATGTATTTTGTATGTTATATATAAATTTTTTACACTTAAGGGCTACCAAATATAAATAATTTTTGGCGTGGACTAAAAGTGAAAAGAAGCCGTGTATTGGAGTTCATTTTGATTGTTGAATCCAGAAATACAAAATATGAATTAAAAAGAAGCCCAACTGAATAAAAGAAGATGAAGGATTAATTAAAAATAATAAGTCGGGGTTACCTTTCTTGTCCGGCGGTGTCCCATATTTGAGCTTTGATGAGCTTATCACCAACTCTAATATTTCTGTAAGCAAATTCCACACCTATGGTAGGTTTAGAATCCAGCTGAAATTGATCCTTAGCAAATCTTGACAAAAGGTTTGATTTCCCAACTGCTGAGTCTCCTATTAGAACTGCCTTGAATAGATAATCACACTCTTCATCAAATGAATCCCCCATAATAAGAATTTATTACTACTTGCTAGAAACAGTAAATATGTACTATATAAAGAAGAAAGAAAGAGGAAATAAGAGGAGAAGAAGAAGGCAAGTATGAGCTCAAGTCATAATCAAGCACACATAAATGTGAAACCAAAGCCATGAGGACTCCTTTGGAAATTAATGGCTAGCTAGGAAAAAAAAGAAAATTAATGGGCGTAAAGCATGTGATACCCTTTTTGATAATGACATTATGGACGTTCTTTAATTATGGCCTTTCTAAGCCTATCTGGTTTTTTTCATTAACACAATTATTTTCTCAAATAAAAATGGAAATTAAAGCCCCCAATACACTATAGAGTTTAACTTCTATATACCGACAATATAATAAAAGGATATTTTTACTAGAAAAATAGTTACAAATAACCGTCCATACAAAATGGATTAATAATATAAAGAAATCTTACTTCATACAACAAGTTAAAATATAACGTTAGTATAGAAACATTTTACATTAATAAGTTAAATCCTTACAATTATTAGGTGACATCCACTTAGTTCGTATTGCTAACCAGAACATTGGAGAGTTTAGCAGTGATCAACCAAATTGATCCACATGTGCCTCTAATTATTTCCTTATATTTTATTTTTGTGAATAATTGCTCGATTTCATGCTTCATGATTGGGGCTTCTTCCTCACCCAACTGTCAAATTAGCAATGGGCCAGGTGGGGGTGGGGGTGGGGGTGGGGGTGGGGCTAAAAGGTGTATAGACAATCCTCCTATAGTTAGAGGCATCTTAAGAATAAAGTAATAAAATGGATAATCATTGCTAATCCTTTTTTTAGGAGAAAACGAAGGATTCTTAATTAAAAGGATTTGACCTAACTGTTGGTAATGAATTCAACACCCGACATTCAAACCCAAGATATCAATGTGTTTGGTATCAAATCAAGTCATTAGAAGAAAGGATTATTATCTAAGGAACAAAAGAGAAAAGTAAGAAGAAAGATTTATATGCTACAACTAGAAACTCCAACCTTCCAACGATTTTAAACCAATGTCCATTCAACTAGGAAATAAGTTTCTATTTCTGTTCTACTTGCTCATATATATACTTTCTTTTTTCTTTAGTAACATGTTATGCATTTGATCTAAAGTCCAAAATTGAAGTGGACAAAATGAGTAGTCACTGTATTCATGTGACAAACATTATCATTTTCTACTTTGTTTTTACCCCCAAAACTTACCTATTTCTGACATTTAGCATTGATTAGGATAACGCTAGCACGAAAAATGAAAAAAATTATTGAAAAGTAAGTCAGGCTCCCGCACAAGTAGAGCAGACCTAAAAGCTACATATAAAAATATAATTTAAGCAGCCCCCATCCCCCTACCCCCAACCAGGGGCAGAGTTTAGAAATTGAAGTTTATGGGTTCTAAACTTGCAATCGAACCCATAACTCATTAGTTACTGGGGTCGCAATTGAGTATTTATACATATTTAATGGATTTCCAAATACAAATTCAAGGTCTAAACAAAAGTTACTGCGTTCGTCCGAACCCGTACGTAGCACTCTCCCTCCCCCTCGACCCCCCCCCCCCCCCCCAAAAAAAAAAAAAGAAAAGAAAAGGGAAGTACACATATGCCATGTTTTGGTGCGAAGAGAACAAGCTATGTTGGACCAGCCGCCTAAAGCACAGCAACTTGTTTCTTGGAGTTGATTGAACCTAGACTGCTTTGTTGCGAGTGCTGTTATCTCAAGAGTAAAGAAAGAATTTCTCACCTATATATAAAACAACAAAATAAACATCTATATCGAGATTAAGGAGAAATCGATGGCTAAGAAATAGTTTAGTCAAGAATCCAAGTGATGGTTTGCAACTTTGCATCATTCAACTTTTACGTTCACTTACTTAGGGCGCAAATTTTACCAATAACATCTAGGACAATTATATGTAAACTAAATTATACACTGTATTTATTATATGTAACTATACTTGAAATAATTACAATTCGTAGCTACTCTTTGGATTTTTAGGTAATTTTAATGTAAACATAGTATATACAGTGTGTGGAGTCACATATAGTGATACATATATTGTGTGTATCATTGTATTTCAGTGTGTGTATGCGCCGATACAACCATTTAGAGTGTATGAATACGGGTGATACAAGCGAGTAACAATCGAACAGTAGCTACAAATAATAATTAAGCAAATTATAGTTACTTATAGTAACTAAGTTCTAAACTGTAGTAATTATGGAAGTTCCTCTATCATCAACTATTAAACTTGATATGGAAATTGTATTCCTAGCTCAGATACCCAAAAATGAAAATAAAAAGTTAAACATGTCACCGTTGATTGATAGGGATTCCATTTGGACTGCAAAACCAAAAGCCCATTAAAGATGTAAACTAATTCCAGTCCAGTAGCCCAGCCTTGAGAAGTACATTAATTTTTAGAAGTAACTCTACCATTTGCATCTATACTCGCTTTTTGGGTCACATTTTAACTTGTGCTCGCTTTGCAAAAAAAATTGCAAGCGTACCCACTTTTTCGCGTAACTTCAGCATACGGGGCTGAAGTAGCAAAGGCAATCACGCAAAACTTCAGTATTCTAGTAGACGGGTCTGAAGTAGCAAGTGTGCTGAAGTTTTTGTTTGTAATTGCTGAACTTAAGCATAGTAGCTGAAGTTTTGTTCTCTATTTGCTGAAGTTTTTGTTTGTAATTGCTGAACTTAAGCATAGTAGCTGAAGTTTTGTTCTCTATTGCTGAAATTTTTGTTTGTAATTGTACTAAATAAGCTGAAGTTTTTTTGTCCTGAATTCATTAGTTTTGTCATTAAGCTCTTTCAAAAACTTCAGCAGAAGATGCTGAAGTTATTTAGTTCATTTATAAAAACTTCAGCACTAAATAAGCTGAAGTTTTTTTGTCCTGGATAAGCTTTTTCAAAAACTTCAGCAGAAGATGCTGAAGTTATTTAGTTCATTTGTGAAAACTTCAGCACTAAAAGCTGAAGTTTTTTTATCCTGGATTCATTAGTTTTGTCATAAAGCTTTTTCAAAAACTTCAGCAGAAGATGCTGAAGTTATTTAGTTCATTTGTAAAAACTTCAGCACTATATAAGCTGAAGTTTTTGAAAAAGCTATCTAACATACTAGATAAATAATCAGATTGCCAAGAGTATCTAAATCATAAATTTTGAAAACAATAAACGTGAAAAGAACAGAATTATCATTGTCTACTAAATTACGTACGTGGAAATATTTACAAATTATTGTCTACTAACTTACGTAATTATTTATAATTTATTTTTAAATAATATGATAAACATATTTATGGCAATCATCCCATGAACTGAAGTTTCATAGCAGCACCAACAGCAGCAGAAGAAAGAAGAAGAAGAAAAGAAGAAAACAAAGGAGGAGAAAGAGGAGGAGAAATGGGGCTGAATTTGTTTAAAAAGTGGGTACAAGTTAAAACTTTTAAAAAAAATGGGTATAGGTTAAATGGGGACGACCAAATAGGGCGCCCGTGCAATTTTTACCTGTACATGCCACATGCCCCCTTCCTAGTAGTTACTTAATAATATAGATGTCCAAAGGAAGAAAACAGTTTCCAGCTGCGTTAAATTAGTCTAGGTCCGGTACTCCAACTCTACGGGGTCGTTTAGCATAAATTATTCTGAAATTATAATGATGAGATTATAATACGAAAATTAAATAATGATTGGATTAGAAGGGCAATTCTGTGCACGAACCATCACGCGTTCACGAGGGTCAAGGAAAGACCGCACTCCAAGGGATATGATTTAGGTAGGCTACCTTGATGCAAGCATCAATGGCTGATTCCACGGCTTAAACTCGTGAATGCGATATAATATACGAGATATAAGTTGGGATAAACTTTTATTTTCAATTTTAACTTTGGATTATTTAAAAACTTTGGGGGGAAGAGCTTGTAGAAGGACATCTTTGTTATTTTAGTATTTATTCCGGAATTAATTAAGCATGTGATAATTAACCCACCCTCACCGTGAGATAAAATAATACCAATTTGGGGAATTAGTTAATTTTGGGATTGGTAATACTAAATTCCAAATTTAACTAAACACAAGATAAAATATTGTCATATCTAATCTTACGATTATTATCCCTTATTCCACGTATCAAACGACTTCTATAAGTTAAAAATATTTTAACTCAACGGGAAACAAGATGCAGATGCTAGAGATGTACAGCATTCCACGTCGATAGTGGAAACAAGAGGATATTTTACCAGCTAATAACAGTAAAGAGAAAGATCTCAGCAGCTCAAAGCACGCAGAGGTGAAGTAGTAACAGAATAAGCAATTGGTAGACCTTTTTCAAGAAATTGGTGCTGCAGAAATTTCCGCCTTCGAGAAATCTTTAATTTGACCTTGCGGGCTGCTCTGTTAGAGCTGCCGCTTTCAGTATTCGTCGTCTTTGCCTGCTATATTAATCAATTCATTTAATTTACCACTAATTGGCACTAAAAAGTTGAAGTTTTTAATTAGGCGAAATACATAAACGGCCCCTCCAAGTTGTCCACAACGGTCAGTTGAACACCTCAACTGAGACTATTTCCAGTTAAACACTTCAAGTGGCTATTAAGTAGGTCAAGTAAACACTTGAGTACAACGTGCCATATGCGTGAGTTGCACTTGCCGATGACATGGCAAATGAACCAATCAAAAAATGACACGTGTAATTTTGCCATAAGAATTTGACACATGTAATTAACAAAAAAATATTTAAAAAAGAAAAAAATTCTTCTCCTAAACTAGCGTTCCTCCTTCCCCTTACTCGTTGAACCCATGACCACCATTTCATCTGCAAAAAATTGGGCAAAGAAAAATTTAGATTGAACCTTGAAAGTTCTAATACTAAAAATAAGAACACTGGATTTCATCTCCAACTCAAACCACCATTATTACACACCA